CTGTGTGTGGCGAGGAAGACAGCAGTAAGAGGGTGACAGTGATCGGCACACTTGAGTGAGAGAATGAGCCGGGAGGGAGGGAGGCAGGGAGGCAGGGGTGTTGATAGGGGTGCGTGAGTGTGGGAGGGGAGGGAAGACACACATAGTATTTATAGTGTGGTGTGGTGTGGTTCGCTGGCTGACATTTTGCCACAGTGTGGTGTTTCTGAAAGGCTAACTAAGTCGAGGCGTGGAGAGGCCCCACTCACTCATTCATTGATCTGTGCCAGCCAATATAATGTGGTCGATCGTTTGGAGCGCTTGATGGAAAAGACAAAGGAAACGGTCCATCAATCCGTGAAATGAGTGCAACGCTGCAGCCAGGCCATGGACGTGACGTGCGCGGCCAACACCACCCTCGACAGACAGACAGACAGACAGCCGATGGGATCACACAAACCACATAATTACAAACAAAATGACCATAATTGAAACTCTGTGTGTCCCCCCCTTGTGTGTGCCAACCCCTCTGTGTCCGTCCGTGTGTCTGTGTGTATCCCGCCTGTCTGAAAGAAATGGTGCTACTCGGCTATCTAATGCTGCCGGGGTGTGCCGGGGTGCGGTGCGGTGTGTGGGCTGCGTTGCATGGCAAGGGATGGGAGACAAGGGACACACCACACAACACAACACGTACACACACACGTCACCCACGTCACACACATCTTTCGTCGTGTCGCGCGTACCAGCCTGCTCATTCGAGCTCGTATCAGTCTGTGAACTTCATTTTCGCCCCTGTCTGGCAGCAGCACTTTAGTCGGGCATCTCCTTGTGTTTCATAGTCCGTGCCGACCTACAGGCACACAGGCAGGCAGGCAGGCATGAAAACACACAAACAACGCTGACTGGACTGACGATGTTCTTTGTCTGCATGGCATGCATGATCCCTCCCTTACGTACGATGAATGCGTAGAGCTTCTCCTTGAAGAAGACCTCTGTGGCGTCGAACAAGCATTTCTTTTTTTGCTCGAGGCAGGTGACCTCTATCAGCCGGCCAGAACCCTCCCGCGCGCGCGACACAGCCTTGGCCACCTCCATCGGCTCCTAAACCCAGTAATACCCACGACATCACACACCACACATTCATCTATCGGCTGTTGTTTCGCAACGAGATGGTGCTGCACCCACCAGGTAGCATTTCCTCAGCTCCCTGGAAACACACACGATGGACACAGACACATACCAGGAGGGATCCATCCATCCATCCATCCATCCATCCATCCATCCATCCATTTTCCTCACCGGCTGGGCGCCTGTGGTGTCTGCGGCGTGTGTGTGAGAGTGCGTCGTGGGGCGAGGGTGGAGGGCGGTTGGGGTGCGGTCCCGACGGCGAATTCTCCGCCGAGGGCGCAGTCCTCCCTCTCGCAGGCGTCTGCATCTGCATCTGCACATCCATCCATCCATTCCGCCACACACATGGAGGGGATCCGTCCATCGCATCTCACCCCACCCCATCAATATATGGCCACTGGCGTCTGGGACTTACCGAGGCCGTGGAGGCCGTGTTGGGTGTGGATCTCTTCGCCCGCCGCCAATGGGCCGCAGAGGGCAATGAGCGCAAACAGCAACGCCAACATCGCAGATCTGCCCGCCATCATTTTCTCGCTACGGTATTCTCGACGTTCGATCGGCCAGGAGGTTGTTGTAAACAGCGATGACCAGACCTTCAGCCAAGCATGGTTTGCTTTGGACCAGACTGGCTCGGGAGGCCAGCAGCGCTCCCACAGCACTAGCTGTGCTCGGAAGTGCAGTGCATCCGGCCGCGGGCGACAGTACAGTGTGAGTGCGCGTTGTGGTGCAGAGGACGGCTGGGTGAGGTCGAGGCAGTCTGAGACAATCGGTCTGTGTCTGTGTGTCTGTGTGTCTGTCTGTCTGTCTGTGAGTGCCTGTAGGCCGAACTCGATGAATGACGGTGGCGTGCTTAAGCGTGAGATGGGCATGGACGCCTTCTTCGGTCGGCTGCTGAGTGACGTCCTCACTCCCACAGCCCACCGGCTGCACCTGCTGCCGCCAGACGCCACGCTCGACTCCCACAAGACATTTACCGTCGTCTATCAGCACCCAATGGTTGGTATGTGTTTGTGTGCGTGTGTATGCCCATCTGTCTGTCTCTCTACTTACTGTGGATATATGTCCGGTTTGGCTCACACCGTGTGTGTGCCTGTGTCATCTGTGTCATTCAGGGCGACGTTGACCTGGCGCCCCGCTTCGACAACGCAGTGAGTGAGTGGGGAGGAAGAGAGACGGTCACCATTCATTGAATGCATTGCTATGCTATGGGATGCCATTCGCCGGATGGTTTGGTTGTTGTCCGCTCTCTCTGTTTGCCGCCAGGAGGTGACACTCAACGTCAACATTGCCGGCGAGTTCACAGGGGGCGACTTGACCTTTCTCGGGCCTGACGAGGCGCTCGTGCCTGTGGGGCCATCTGAGAGAGAGGGCGACAGGCGCGCTGTGACGGTGGCACAGCGGCCGGGCATTGGGGTCGTCCACTCGGGATACGAGCGGCACCAGGCGAGTTGGGACGCCCCTCTCCCAGCCGTGCTGTGTGTACTGTGTGTGTCTGGATGGATGGATTGATGGTCAGGCTCAGAA